TTTCTGTAGTGCCTACTGGACCTGGTCCTTTTCACGACATGTTGCCTGACAATATGTTTGAAGGGGATCTACCAAAACATAGGGCTTTTGAGTCCAACATACTGGCAGCAAGTGAAGAACTCGTGATCGAAAGCCTGGCCATGATGCGAGAAGAAGCAAGGGCAGAGCATACTGAAGTCTTAGAAAGGGAAGAGGTAAGACCTACTCAACCTATTATTGATAAAACCCCTGATTTAGGTAGGTACTCTTCTTCCTCTTCCTCTGACTCTGCTAGTGAGGAGGCGCCATTACAATGGAAGGTTGAGAGAAGAGAAGAGGTGGAAAAGAAAAATAAGAAGAAGAAGTCAGAAAAGAAAAGGGAAAGGGTTACAAGGAAGGTTGAAAAGTCACAGTCAAAAGGGAAGAGATCTGAGAAAAAGAGAAAGCGGACACAGGGACCTGGTTCCCAAGCCAGGAAAGTTGAGGGTGTCAACATGTAGGAGGTGGTTGACAGTCTGAGAAACCAAGCTGTTTTGGCAGGAAGAATTTTTGATATGGGGATCATAACTCTTCCTGGCATGGACTCTCTTCACGATATGGTTGAGATCCAATCTTGGTTACATTTGTTCAACAGGAAATCCTCCATTCTCCATCAAGAAGAAGTGCGAGAATTTTACTATGATATTCAATTCAAGGACGATGGGAGCATCCTCACACGAGTAAATAACATTGCTATATGTTTAGATGAGGGTGTGTTGAGCAAAATTCTCAGGGTGCCTAGAGAGGGGACCAGGTCTGTACTGGGTAGAACTTGCTCTTCTGAGTTTGCTGCTGTGATTTCTAAGACACCCACAACCAAGGTTGCTGGGATTTATAAGAAAATCATGAAAAGTGAGTATCAGTTGGTTTTTGAGTTTATCAACAAAGTTCTCTTTCCTCGCACTGAAAAGGGGACAGTAGCAACTGCTGCTGATTTATTTGTGATGGAGATGTTGTGTAACTTCGAGGCCTTGAACCTACCTGGTCTAATGCTTGAGCATATCCACAAAACTGTCATTGAGAGGAAAGGTGTTCACGGAATGGGTTATGAATACTTTCTTACGGAGGTATTCAAGCATTTTCAAATTCCTCTTAGTGCGGAAAAAATGGGGACAGTTAAGCAGACTATCTCCGAAAGTACCTTGGTTGAGTGCGAATGCATTGAAGGAAGAGGATATCCAAAGAGCAAAATGGCCCAACTGATTGATGATCAGGAGCAGCTTAAGCATGAGGTTGAGGAGCTTACTGTGCGGTTAAGTGGTAAAGAGGCAGAGATTGCTATACTCAAAGCAGAACTGCTTACTGCACAAAGTGAGGGACCTGGTTCTTCAGTGGTTCAAGCTCTGGAGAAAGAGAATACTGAGTTGAAGGCGAAGATAACTGCCCTGCAAGAAAAGTCCATCAAAGATAATGATGCTGCCAATGCACGACTCACTCTTGTTATTCAATCCCTGTCTCATCCTCCCTCTTCCTAGTTTGTTGAACCCCTCCTTGTGTCAAATTTTTTTTTGTGGCTTTTCAATGTGTTGAAGAATGTTCAGTTTGTTTTTAATGTATTTATGTTATGATGGCATGTTGGTTACTTTATTCTTTTGTTGTTCTTCTTATCTTCTTTTGCGAATGCTTTTCCTCTACTGTTTGATTGCTTTTTAGCTTTGATCTTGTTCAGTGTTTATGCTCACATCACTGGTTTACTACGTTTCTTTTTTATGATGCCAAAAGGGGGAAGTAAAATTGTGTGTAGCTAAATGATATTTTAGTGAGGGGGAACAAACAGTGAGATATAGTGAGGGGAATATAAAAAGGGGGAACAAAGTTGAAAGGATATTAAATTATGGTTTCAGTGTTTGTCATCATCAAAAAGGGGGAAAATGTTATTTGTAGTTTTGATGATTTGACAAACCTGGGGACTTTGTAAAGGTACCAATTTCTTAATTGTCTGTTGCAGGGTTCTTGCTTGAGTATTGTAGATGAAACAAACTCTGGGACCTAGTAGAGGTACCAGACTCTCATGATGAGGAGCCAGTTGATTGCCAGCTGGAGACGATACAGAAAGTAGGTGCACACTTCCTGATGGCGTCAGAAAATGTGACTTTTCCAGCCAATGGCAAAGAAGTTTGGGAAAGTGACTTACTCATATAAAAGGCACTTTCCTAAACATTTTTGTTTAGTTTTTGCAACTTGATAAAAACTTTTCAAGAACTCTTGCAAAGACTACTACAAAGCAAAGACAGAATTATTCCAAGAACAATAACAATATCTGGAGCTTTCCATTTAGTTGTTTAGGAATACATTCTCTTGTTCTTAAACTATAAACCATTCCTGAATCTATAAAGGAATTGGTGTGTTGTGTTAAAAGTCTAGGTTGTCCAGGTGGGATAGCTTAGTGGGTAGATTGTTTTCTACTTAGGCTTGTTAAGCAATAGAGGACTATTGCTTAACGGTAAGATTGATAGCTGTTTATTACGTTCGGTGTAATCATGTTTTACTTTTGTTTTTGAAGATTAGTGAAAACAATTGAAAATCCTGTGAGACAGGTCGTAGTTTTACTCCCTTAAGCAAGGAGGTTTCCACGTAAAATCATTGTGTTGATTTTACTGCATTTAACTTTCTAGTATTTTTCTGGAGTGTAGTAAGGGACCTGGTCCATTACTTGTTAAGTGAATGCTCATATTCTATCAGTTATGAATGTTGATAACTTGAACAATATTAACACTCTTAAAGAGCTTTCAAAAGCTATTGGAAGTTTGCGAAGAGGATCTAAAATGAAAAGATCCCGGAAAGATAAAATTTAGTCATGACCTATAAATAGAGAATTTGACAAATGAAATATTTGTCCATCAATCAACATACACTTAAGATTTTTTATGCGATTTTTATATGGATAAATCACATTCATTGAGTACCCCAATGACTATGAATGACATAAATGATGATCCAGTTTGATCTCAAAAGAAGGATGAAGAGCTTCTTGATGATGAAACTTCATATCTTAGTGTAATCACGACATTAGTGCATCTCGCTAACAATACTCTACCAGATATTTATTTTGCAGTAAATTTACTGGAAAAAGTTTCAGTTCATTGCCAATAAAAGGACATTGAAATGGTGTTGAGCACATAATTAAATATCCTCGAAGGACCATAGTAATGGGTTTATTCAATTTTGAGGAATCCAAGACAAAATTAATTAATTACGCTGATGCAGAATATTTATCTTACCCGCATAAAGCTCGATTTCTAAGATCATTATTTGTTTGCATGTGGAGGCACAATGATATCTTAGTTATCAATGAGGCAAATGTTGGTGATCACTTCTTCGAACCGTGTATAAATAAAATCCCTCCATTAAGCAAGTTGAAAGTGTGTCTGGTTGAAATCAATGACACACCATATTTAGAAAATATGTGTTTTTTCCTTGAAAAAGAATTCATCAACCACAATATACGAAGATAATCAACTACAAATGAAAGTGTCCACAAGATGGTTGTTTCTATGAACAAGTTGAATGAGCAATTTACTTGCAGTAATGAGGTCACAAATAAAGTGGTTGTCAAGAATGTATTCGACTAAGCTCAGAGTCTCATCATATCCATGAAATAAGAAAATGATATAGCAGTAACGAGTTAAAGCATGCCACATCTTTGTGAATGTGATTCACACAAAGACAATTTCAATATATGAGCAGTTGGTATATAAGATTGAATGACATCATAAGAAATTAAGTGATGTTTTGATCAGGGGAAATATATACGCGTTGCACTATTTTTCATTGACTGAGGTTTGTCGCACTAGATTTTCATGGCAAGGTTTTAAATGAGGCAACAAATAATGTGTATCAAAAGATATTTGTACTCATTCTCCTTCACTAGAACTTTTTCCCCCAGGTTTTTCTCCAGTAAGGTTTTAATGACGCACATTATCTATAGATATCCAAGGAGAAGTGTTATAAATTCATTGTGATGACTTTTGAGAGTGATAATTCAACATTATAAATAGAGATATCACTCACCATTTGAAAGACATATTTGAATAAGAAGAAAAGTCCTCTTCTTCTATCTACTTCTCTTTATGATTACACTAGTAAAATTACCCGTGCCTCGCGCGGGAACTTAATATCAGAGAATTTATAAAATAACATTTTAAATTTATCAGTTATTAAAACTAAAACACTATATTATCTCACATACAAGATTATTACGTGCTAACAAACATTAATAATGTAAAGAAAATGAAATTTATTACATCCTATCATTTATCCTTACTAACATAAACATAATTTAATGACTAAATAAATTATACCAAGATTTGTAACATAAGCAATTATCATTGAGCCATTTAACAGGAACAAAGTACATAAATATTTAGTTGTGAAGAAGAAGAAGAAGAGAAGAGGAGGAGGAGGAGGAGGTTTAGAATTTTCGTTGTTTTAAAGTGAGAAAATTCTTTTATTTATAGACAACAAAGGGTACTGTGTCCAAATGTTTATTATGTCTATCTGAAAGGTTACAACTATTTGAAAAAGTTGCAACCTTCCGAAAGGTCTCAACCTTTCATAAAAATCACATCTTTTCATAAAAGTCACAACTTTTCATAAAAGTCACAACTTTTCATAAAAGGCGTAACTTTTAAAGAAAGTCGCAACTCTTCATAAAAGTCGTAATTCTTCATTAAAGTCACAACTTTTCTTAAATGTCACAACTCTTCATTAAAATCACAATTGTTCATAAAAATCACAATTTTTTATGAAATGAGAAGGCCACTTTTGGAAAAAATAAATTTAATGATTTTTATGAGCTTAATTTTATAATAATTTAATCTTTTTATCTATTTTTAAAAAGAAAATATTTTTTTTTTCAATAAAATATACTATTGCTCCGTCCATGCTCATACCTAACACCACCATCCATAATATTTATGTAGATTATTTATAAATACTTTATTTACCTACTTAAACTAGCTTAGAAAATATTCTCTCGTAAATTTTTTTTTATTTGGACCACACTACATAAGTCGGTCCAAAAGTGAAAGGTATGATCAATCGTGCAATAAAGTTGAAGTTTTCAGGCTTGTTGTTGTTCATGTATAAACTCCAATCCAAAGTAGCGTGAAATTTGGTGGAGGCTTGCTATTGCCTAATGTTCTTTCTCCTCCCTATTTCCAGGAAACTTCACAACCCCTTTTTTGGCCTCATCTTTTTGGGTCCTAATTCTTGATTTTATTATCTGAATCTGGCTGTTCCATTCATACAAACAAAAACAAAAAAAGGTTTCATCTTTGAGCTAGCTAAAGGGGTACAAAGATTATTTTTTTTTAAAAAAAATTCTAAAGATTTTGAGTCTGAAATATTTATAATGGATTCAGATTCTTGGAATCGTATATTTACTTCTTCTTCAAGGCGTTACCAACCTCGATCAGGTACTATTATTATCTTCTTTATGGCTTTGTTTCTTGAGGTAAAATTAAGGAATTTGCATTTTCCATTTGCTTTTCTCATAGCTTGTAGTTTTATTTAGAATGTAGTTTGATTTGTTGTTTATTGGCGAACAAATGAAGATAAGATAATCCTGAGGTGGGGTTTTGTGGAGTAGGTTTCCTTACCTGAAAATTGAGATGAACAAGTTATACATTTGCTTTTGTGGGTTTGGGTTATTCTCAGTAGTGGAAATAAAAAGGTACTTTATATTTGCAGTTATTGGGTTTTGGTTATATCTTACTCAGAAATGTGAAGGTTATATTTTTGTTTTATCAACTCTTATCCCTCCAGACTCTGAATTGTCGTTTTGGGGATATGTGTCTTTTCCACGGGAAGATTAGTATGGGGAGAGGTTTTGGGTAAAATATGGTTGGTAATGGTAATTCATTGCTTTTCTTGTTTGGTGGAAGTGAATTTTTGGTGTGTTTTGCAGAAATCCGTAACTTAGGAGAGGAGTATGATGGTGAAGACGAGACGAGGCCAGAGTTTCTCTGTCCTTTCTGTGCGGAGGATTTTGATATTGTTGGACTATGTTGTCATATAGATGATGAACATGCTGTTGAGGCTAAGAATGGGGTACAGTATCTCTACAACTAGTACTTCTTTCCCAATTTGTTTTCATTAGTTATTATGCTCAAGTTTTTAAAACCAAGGGGGGCCATCATAGAACCTTCCTTTCTTCTTACAAGGATTGTCATAAAACCTGTCTAATTAGTTGTGCCGTTTTACAGTGACCTTATTCAGGAATTGGTTTTTCATTTTCCTCTCTTGCTACTCTTCCTGTGAACCCAATACGTTTATGAGAAGAAGCATTAGCTATCAAATATGACCTTCATTTTATGATATGTTACTTTATCTTTAATGCTTTACCTGTGTTTATGCCTATAGAGACTGCTTCAACTTAAAAATTCGAAGCAGTGAATTGTGTGAAGCTTTGAACTTGAAATTTCACAGTAGTGAAGTGAAATAGTTTTCTGTTCCCCTTAGCTGTGTGTTAAAAAATATAGTTGTTGGGTTCTCTCCTGCAAATTATGGAGATGTATAAATTTGTAATTTATTCACCACAATATCACCAAATTATCAGAAGCATTATGTGTAAGTAGCACTGGTGCTACATTGCACAGTGTTTTGGCTGATCACCTGCTCCCCTCCCCTTGTTCAATTTTAAAGATAAATTTCTATAATATCTGGATCAACCATGAAGCTGAGTGATAAGAATCTATCTTCACAAACTTGTGGAAGTTCCACTTAAATTGATTGAGCTACTAGTCACTGGACAACACTCCCAGCAGAAGTGGAAGAAGAGAAAAAAGTGAGGTGTGGCAATTTTTTTTGAAATGTGAGCTGCTAATGTCTTTTCATTCTTCTAGTAATTGTGATTGTTCATACAATACTAGTAGAATTAGAAAAAATATAGAAAGGTCCTCTACTTGTTTCTCCCCCAACTCCTTCTTCTTTTGTTTAATTGATAGACATCATTCCCTTCTTCTCTGAAAAAAAAAAAGGTAAACAAATGATTTTTCTCTGACCCGTTTCTAAATTTCTGCTTTTCAACTTTTGGAGCTTCCGGTTTGTGGTAATATTGAACGAATGGAACGTTAACCTTTAGCATTTCTGACTTCTTGCAATCATTTGAGTACTAGCAAACCTTGAAATGAATGTTTTATATCTGTTAGTTGATAGTCAACTTCACTTTCAATAAATTTAAGTGTCAGATGAATTTGGGATTTAGGGCCCAAGTTACGGGGTATATGAAGACTTTACATCTAATGTTTAGTCTCAACTTAATGAATATATAGTATTTACATGGTAACACCTTTTTTTTCCAGCTCCATGTTATTCATTATCATATCTGAGTCAAGGTTCTCCATTCTATCTTGTTTTTTTCCTTGACAATTCCTGATTGCAGAACCACACCCTCATTGTTCTCTCTTGACGTAGGAGAGGTAGCAATTATGTTGATAGGAGGAATGAGGAGGCTATAGCCTACAGCGGGGAGGGGGGATTTATTCACTTTTGGGAGGTTGTGCACACCATTCACCCTCTCGTTGAGATAAAGAATAAGGGGAAATTTGAAACAATATTCTGGTTGGATACCTCTTGTTTACTTCTTCAGTCAGTTTTATCTCTTTTTTTGATACATGGTAGTGACTCCCAGGACTTTGGTCTAGTATTGGTTAGACTTATGTCACGGCTTTAAATCTTGCTTTATACAAATGCCTCATATTTAGGTGGAGAATGGTAGAGCAACGACTCATACACTAGAGAGTTTCAAACTGTGCGCCGATAGCTCTCAGAGATTTCTTGATTATAAATAAAAGAATGATTTTGTAGCTTTGCTACTCTTCGTCAATTTGTAAATCTCCAGTTCCTGCTAATGGTTTTTATTGCTGTGTTATTGTTAATGGATTTTTATCTTAAAATACATGTATATTTAGTTTCCTTGTCCATGTTCATAAATTTTTCAATACTATAAGGGTCGGCTAATGGAAAAGTGTCTTGTCTGCTGACTATATGGTTGAAAAAACTGTGTAGTTCACTAACCAGAAAATGGAAAAAATATTCAGTCACTTAAGTGAGCTAAGACCTAAGGTGCTCGGGCCACTCCCAGAAGAATGCAAAGTGTATTTTGTGTATCAGTGTCTAAGGTTCAAAAAGTTACTTGTTTGGATTGTGACTTATGATTTGCGGCTTTCATGAATATATGCTGAATAGCGATTCTTGTAGAATCAGATAGGGATTTTGATGTGCTGCCAAATCTATAACCAATTCTTCGCCAGCACTTGCTAAGTAGCAAATTAATTATTTCTTTTTTCCAATTCTCTTTTTTGAGGAAAAAAATGTCACTCAACTCAAACAGTAGTTCTTGTATTTTAGGGATTGTATCTGAAAATGTTACGCAGATTAGTTTCAGAACGGTAGTTTTTCAACGAACAAAATCTATTTCATGTGTTCTCTAAATTATGTTTAGTTTCTTTCTTGTTACTTTCTGTATTGACAAAGATACTGTGCTTTTTACATGTGACCTTTTTTTTTAGTCGAAAACTCAGCATCATTAACATGAGTATTATATTAAAGCTTAAAACTAGAAATTTAGATTTTGATTATACGGGCAAGAATTAGATAGAGAGTTTCTACTATTGCTGATAAAATCTGGATATCTGAATACTTTATGCTACTAGCTTGTCAGTTGCATCTCTGGCAAGTGATCAGAGTGTTGAGTGTTGACTGTTGAAGAGCACCAACCATTTTATCAAGATTTTTGTGATGTTAGATAACATGTCATTATATGCAGATATGCCCGGTTTGTGCAAAAAGGGTTGGAACGGATTTGGTTGGTCATATTACTCAGCAACATGGAAACATTTTGAAGGTATCCTTTTTTATTATCTTTCATCAGTTATTTTCATGAGCTTTGATCTTGGGAACTCTTTTTGGTTTGCTTCAGTACCAAAATGTGCATCATATCAGAATTCTTTTAAAGCTTTAGTGTCAGTTTTCTCTTAGCTTTACTATTGACCTACAGATTCATGGTATGTATCATTGACTGCATTACAGGTGCAGCGCAGGAGAAGATTTCGAAGAGGTGGTACTTCAGCTCTCTCTATTTTAAGAAGAGAGCTAAGGGAAGGGAGTTTGCAGTCCATCCTGGGGGGATCCTCTCGTTTGGTTTCTCCCTCCACTACAGATCCAGATCCATTGTTATCTTCATTTATTCACAATACAACTTTGGCTAATGAAATTCCTGATGTTCAACCTTTATCTTCTATTAAGCAAAGCTCAAAAAAAGAAAGCACTCTTGAGAACTCATCTGAAAGGTAAGGGACACCCTCACTACTTTTGTTTCTATATTTCTTTTTAATTTTCTTCCTCTCAAATGCCTTTTCCTATGTGTATTACCGTAGTTCCTTAGAGTTTCTTGGTTCGTGTCTCTTTGATTTTATGTTTGAGTGGCAAACCTGATTAGACCTTATCTCGCTGATTGCATAGATATGCAAATTTAATGAGCTATTACAAAATACATACATCATCTACATGTTTGTATGCTAGTTTTTCTCTTCTGTTTGTGCGTGTCTCTTCTGTACATACATGTCGTCGTTTTCCTTGGGGGGAGGTTGTCAGCTGTAGAAGTTGCTCATCATTGTGTATATATATACACACACATATATGGCAGTGGGCTTCTGTTTAGTAGGATTTTGTTTTTGGACTCCTGTTTGGTCCTGTTTGTATTCAGCTGTGTCTTGAGTTTTTGATTTTGTTGTTGTTTTGAACAGAACTGTTGAGCGATCTCCGCTATCTGACAAAGACCAAGAGGAGAAGGCCAGGAAGAGTAAGTTTGTGCAAGGGCTACTGCTATCTACCTTTCTTGAAGATGACATCTAAATGCGAAGAGGATAATGTTAGCATGGATAGAGAAAGGAAGAGGATGCTGCCATTTTGTGTAGTAGTTAGGGGGGGAAGAGGAAACTCGTAAAAGTCCTACTTATGTGTATAATATTAAAGACTACACTAGTTTTCCATCTTCAATGTAGCAACATGCTAAAATACATATTCCAATTTTAATTGTGGGAAGCAACACGAAACATATGAGTGTATAGCTAGTTTCACTAAAATGAAGCAGCCAGCGAAATGGCATTGGCATGCACTCCACTGGCTATGTCTATCAAGGGAAACAAAGTTACAGAAAAGGTTGGACATTCTAAAGTTATCGAATCTTCTGATGTAACCAAACATTTGTTGGCCACCAGTAATCTTCACGTTACAGGACTGTGATAGGCGATATAAAAGATATGCTGGTGGCTAACCAACTCCGCTTTCTAGTGAAGTTAATCGTGGCTCAAAGATGAAGATGTTGGGAGGATTGGATAGACTTGAGGACCCATTTGATGTACTTTGCTTCTCAGATATATGATTCCAGAAATCATGAATGATACAATATTTGAAGCAAACGGCCAAATATCATTTGAAAACATTTCATGACAAATAAAATTACAAACCTGTCATTTCATAAATCGTAAACTACATTTGACTCTTTATCTATATCATATAATAAATAAATATACGTATAAGTTGATACACTGAGAAAGGTTGATCTGGCATGTCTTTTTTAATCAGAAGCCATCCTCTATTCAGTCGGATACACAGTCCGACTCTGAAAAACATAGTTATATACAAAGTCATAAACTGTAAGGTGATATTATATTAGAGGGTATTACAGACCATTCATTTATACACAAAATACAGAAAATCAACCTATTTCTCAATCAACATTAACTTGAGTGTAAGTCGAAATAGAGCAAGCTTGACAAAGAGACTGTCATCAGAACATCATATCCAGGAACTCACTGTTCATTGAGGAAGCTCCAATGTATACAAGGTGTGCTATAGGAAACAGTGAAGATGCTAACCTTCACAGTCACTCTTGACCCTCTACCAGGTACCTTACCACTCACGCATCTAACCGTAACTAATAAAAGTACAAAAGCTTGTATTGTGTAAACAGAAGGCTACTTTCAAGTCAAGTTTTGCTATACCCAGTGACAAGCTTGTACAGCCGGACGAGCATCTCAGGATGTTATGCTTAAAAGAAAATTAAGACAAGCTTCACCTTCGATACGAATTATGCGACTCAAAAAAACTATAGTCAGGGTGATTAACTTGCAAAAGCCGGAGCCAATTGCCAGCAGCTCGTAACAGAGAGTTGGCCTTCTGACATTCATTAACTCCATCAGGGAACCAAAATGATAGTTGGAATTTGTACGAGGCCAGGCCAAAGATTGGGAGAGGCAGCTTGGCGGACATACCAGCATCAATGATGCCTTTACTAGTAGTTGTGCCATGCTGTTGAGGCCAGTCAGTCCTAGGAACTGCATAAGTGTAAGCAATACATAATCAGCAATTTCAAGAACCATCAACTGGCTTGTTTTGACATTAAATTGATCAGAAATAGAGAAGAAACAGGATGAAAGACATACCACCACCAGAAGGTGTTGAGAGGGAATGGTATGTCAAAAAGCAAGCGTCAAGATTTTGCAATGTTGGTCCTGTTGGTATCCTATAAATGGGATACCTTCATAATGGAAAGGAAAAAACAATTTAGTATCATCCCGTGAATTTACACAAGAATATTTGTTCAGTCAAGGCTGAAAGGAGAATCATACCAAGCCACAGAAATCCAACTTGCAGCAGTCAGATCACAGCTCTTATATGTCTTCAGTTCTGGAAATTTAGATGCAAGGCCTGAAATCTGCAGTTGTAAAGGGCAAAAGAATGTAAATGCTATGCCACAGAAAAAATGAAGACAGACAAACTTCTGTTTGGAGATAAAAGACTTGCCTTATCAGCTAAAGGTTCACGACCATATGGTTGATTCCGCTCAAAGTACTCAAATACAAGGAGACCAGGACTCCCCATCTCATTCTCATCTCCTGAAGATTCTAACGGATCCTTCTTTAGGGAGAGATGCTTGATTCCATCAATAGTTGATGCAGCTATATTCTGCTGATTCCAACTTCCGTGAACTTTATTGGCTATCCTTGAAGCTCCAGCTCCGTATTCACTACTGTCATCACTACTTGTTGTCTCCTTGAGAGAGTCAGCATCACTTTCTTCACCAGGTCTCCTGGAAAAATTCAAGCCCAAGATTGTTATTTGAAAGAAATGCAGCTAATGCATACCAGTTATCCACAAGCAAAGGCACCAATCAATTGAAGTGAACTAACTTTTAAGAGAACATATCAGTCTGTATAATTCAATTATTAAAGAAGATTGCTCTTACTTCAACCTACTCTTCACTTGGTAGGTGAGATGAGCAGCACAATTGAAACATTAATAGCCCTGAGGCATTCTTTTTTACCTCCTTCTTCAAGCAAGAACTTCAAAGAAGTGAAGGGCCAAGCATATAATCAAAAACAGAATTCAACTTTTAAGGACAATACATGCATATCTGATGCCACACGTTGCGCCGGTGCAAGGCCATATCTATAAGACTTCATAACCCTGTTGAATATGTTCACTCGAACATTTTTTAAGGACACTCTCACTGCAATATATGAGCTCAGACTTCATTTATGAAAAATCTGAGGTGCTTCAATAACAAAACTTATAATTGAGAATATGGTTTCCATTACCAACCATAAAAAACCTATATCCTACGATATAACACATGGAAGAAGGTGCAAACTTCAACCTTGATTGAGTGGCAGGGCAGGCACATGAGGTACATATATCTACTTCTCATTACTCTTGGGCTTTTACAGAATGAATCACATTCAAGCTTAGAAAAGAAAATAAAATAAAAATTACACATTAACAAACCCCAAGCTAACCAGAATCAATCACCATCCTTACAACTGAAGTGAAATTAAATCACCATCCTTACAACTGAAGTGAAATTTACAAGGACAATTGTGATTCAGCCAGAACTGGTAACATTTATCACATAAGTTCTGGTAAGGTGGTTTACATATATTAAATAATGGGGAATGCATCTTTACTTTAAACAGTAACAACAAACCAGAAACATTATTCTCGAAAAATTTTCATCAATTCTTTCAGTGTCACCCAAACAGCCACACATGAGTTCATTCAAAGACCGATATGCATGAAATATAACTGGTTTTATCATCTGCAAATAGGCAGAAAGTGCACATAACAAGCTCACCTCTGCTTGATAGAGGGCCTCGAAGGGTCTGTATAAAGTTGAATCCCAGACAAATATGGTACATAATACTGGACAACACAATCACTCTGATTTAAAACCAGAGGAACTCCTGCTCCATATGCACTCCATTCCCCAAAAGACTCCCAAAGGTCACCCAAGATGAAGTATGGATGGGAATCATTGTCAAGATTCCTCATCCCTCTCATGATTGTCTGCAGATATGCAAATGCATCGGATTAACTTGAGTATCAGGAGATCAAAGCATTCAAACTGACTTTCCACAAACTTCTGCTTTGTTGCAATATGAATAAGCACCGAACAAATGAGATCAGATCTTAATTATACGATGCACATTCAAATAACCAAGAGAAGGAGACAATTGCTGAGCCATTATTCACTTGTATGATTAAGGAAGAAATGAGCATAAAATCAGCAGAAATCTGTCTTTTCATAAACACATTATACAACCAGGTCTTCCATGCAAATGGGAGAAGCGAGTAGCAAACCATTGCATTCCAACACCTGATCCATTCTTATAGTTTACACACACAACACGACCAAGTATCTAAAAAAAGGCATATGCACAAGTCATAACCACATGAAACTAGGTGAAGTTCCTTTAGTTACCAATGGTAGGTCTAGTTTCTAAGAATATTGTCTATCCGGTAGAAGCAGGATTCACAGTTACAAATTGGCCCAATATAGGAGAAACAGATTACACAGTTTACAGTTCTTCTCATTGACATTGTCATAATAAAAACACTGAAAACCTAAAATGCAGCAACTTTTACAACAAGACATAGTTTCCCCAACATCTATAACTCAATGCCCAATAGGATAAGATTAAATATCAATGCAGAAATAAAAGAAGTGATACCTTGGGAAAAACTTGAGCGGGAACCTTAGGAGTGGTATGTTCCAAGAAGCGATCGAAATTGGTTAAATTCTCAATTCGAATGGATGAAAACGACGTCGTTGAGGATGCTCCATCATCAGACTCAGTTCGACTCCCCGCTTCAATTCTTGACTTGGCTTGCATTTTTTGCTGCTTCCTCATAGCCGGTGGGCTATAAAACCGATCATCTCCAACCTTTCTCCGATTTGCAGCCATTTTAGAGGGGGAAAGATTTTCAAAAGACCCAAAAAGGAAAATGGATCCGTAAAGATCCTAAAAGTCAAAAGAAGTTTGAGTGTTTGGTATAATGAAGTAGTGTAGAGTGTAGGTATTGGAAAAATTGGGGCAAAGTTTAGGGCTTTTTGGTTAAAGGGTTTAAGGGAGATTTAGGGTGATGAAGTTTTTTAGGGTTTTTGAAGATAAATGGGTTTGTTAATGGTGGAGGGGAGAAGGAGACGCGAAGAGTCGAGGCTGAAAAAAGGGTTGAAAATGAAGGTCTACCTTTGGTTCCATGGACCATGTTCTACACAATTCAAGAATAAAGAAAAATTTACATCACTACATTGCAAATGGTGGGTTGCATCAAATTCCAAAGCTTTAGATATAAATTTGAATAGGTAAAAATGGGTTAACATAAGATGGATAATAATTATGTAACTATATCAACATCATTACCATAAATACTATAATTATCTCTAATAATTCAAAAGAATTATCCTTAGTACCACTTTTAATATTTCCATCCTATATTTTAAAAGTTTTAATTAGATACACAAATCTCTTAAATAAAAAATTGAATAAATATTTTAAATCTAAACTTCTTAATTAATGGTCCATTAACAAGTCAAATTCTCCTTCTTTTTCCCTTCTGTCGTTTCCTTCATAGTCACGTCCACTAACCATCCTTCTTCTTTAATTTATCTTCTTTTTTTTCTTCCTTCATCCTCTCAATACATGTTTGTATGTTTAAATCAGCATTATACATATAGGTTTGTTTCTATTATTTTATTGTTCATATGTATTCTGATTTTGTATCTGAGTTAGAGTTTATAATGTTCTAAAGTTCAATTTTTTTAAAAATTACAAA